AGCTCTGCCCCTGAGCACTGCTGCCCTGCTGTACAGAGCATTTCTCAGGAAACTTCACCCCATGCTCCAGACAGGGAATGTTCTGGAAAGGAAAAAAAGTTTTGAGTTGTTGCATCTTTCCTAGACTCTTTTTTAGCCTTTGTGTTTATGGAGGGACTTAATCTAGTTATTTAATGATTGAAGCTTTTGCTCACAGGCCTTTAATAATAATCACAATACATTTTTTTTATAATGTTCATTCATACATGCCTCCTGCCAACAGGCCTGAGGTGCTGCACAGACACTGCAAAACATAATACAAATTAAACATAACAAAAGAAAATCCAATGAAATATTTTAAAAGACACATCTGATATTAACGAGAAAAAGGTTATTTTCAAACATGAGGAATATCAAGACAAAATTGCTGTGAATACAGAGGGATTCCAGTGACGTTCTTGCCACCAACCCTATCAAATCCACTTAACTACAGCAGATGAAATGTTTGTTCATTTCCCTCTGGCTGGCATCTTCCAAGTACTTTTGTCATTTTATTTTAAAATATTTTGAGATCGCTTCTGTTTTGTATGCAACCCAGAAAATCTATCTTTTTTGATACCTGCAGTGCTACTATAATATGGTCATTTATGGCCATCATCTTTAAAATAAACAAACTAAACTGACAATATGCCATATAAGAAAATATTATTACTGTATAATACAGAAAGAGAACCAAGACAGAGAGAAGGCTAAGCTTGCCAAGATCAAACAAAGCTTGTGGTAGAAAAAGAATCTGCACTCAAGACTTCCAAGTGCCAGCCTATCACCCCAACTAAGCTTCTCTAAATCTTCAGCTGTCACTAAAACACAAGAAATTGCAGGATTAAAATACAAATAAGGAAATCTGAAATTATGAAACAACAGCTGTGATCTTAAAGCAGATATATCATGCATGTGCATGCAGTCCATGAACACATATAATACAGATGCCTTTCAAGGCATCCATAGCATGTGCAAATGTTAAGGATCAATTTGACAAAATCTTAAATTTAAACATTTTTGAATTTGCAAATAGAATACCTTTTTTATGTCCTATTTTTCTTGCATGATTCTCAACCTCTTGTCAGACAAGCTCTCCTAAACCTGAGTTTCAGAATATCTGTGCAGCTATTGAACTGTGTGTAGTCTGCTTGTTAACAAGAAATGAAGCTGGAATGTAAGTCACTGCTAATTAAACTCATAATTACAAATGGAAGGTTAGACAGCAGATCCAAGAGCTGTTTGAAAATGTAATAAGACAAAAGAAAGAACAAACTCACATGTAATAATTCTGCCTTACTTGGCAGACTGACCCATTAGAAGACTCCTCAGCTGCACACAGTACAGAAGGCAAATATTACAATCGTAAATGCAAATCGTTTGGGCTTAAATGAGTTTGTTGAGGATTAGCACAGGCTCTAAACATTACCTAGATTTCTTATTAAAAACAAAAATTGAGGATTGATCATTTACAAAGTTAGAACATGTATCATACCTTCCTGACCTGAGCTCCAAAGTAGTTGCCACCAGTAGTTGCCTTCCTTTCTTCTTTCCTTTTGCTTTCCCTTTTAACTGGATAATGTCTCTCTCCTCTGCCCATAAGGGGCCAGTAAATCTGCTTAATTTGTCACTGCCCTGCCTGTGGACCTCCACAAACACAGAAATCCCGAGATAACCACAACATTGCTTTTGCTCCCTGGCTGGGAGGTGGGGCACAGAGAACATGAGAAGTGCAGGAGGTAATTTGGACAAAGGGATTAAGAAGCAGCATTAAAAGATCAATGGGGAGCAGAAGTACCAACCACTAGCGCTGAAACATTGAGGGCAGCCAAGGAATGGACACCATATTTCCTGTCAGCTTTGATCTCCTGAGGGCATAGAGGTTTTCATGTGGGTCTCAAACTCTGTGTTTGGAACCATCCCATCACCATGTGACACCAGGATGAACGATGGGCATGCAGGACACGTAAGGAGTAAGGAAGCATGTGCTGTCATGCCAAACCAGAAAGCCAGTGCCTCTTCTTGTTGGCACACTTGAGATGAAGCCTTTGATGGTTTTGGGGAAATCCAAGGGGAAGAATAGCTTTTCTTTCCCAGTTAAGCCCGTTTCTTACTTGGGATCTAGGTAGCTGGACAAAAAAATCCTGTTCGGGATTTACAAAGTATCTGTCAGGAAACAAATACAGGTGGCAGATCAAAGCTGCTTCCTGCCATTCCTCCTACTCTGGGTATTTCACCTTTCTGTGAGCCACAGGAAGCCTCTGAAATTCCCAGCAGGGTAGAATAGCCTTGTGAGACCTGCCGATGGGAGATTTAAAAACCTAAAAAAAGTATTCCCTTATCAGCAGGCTTTCATCTGACACGATAATTCTAAAAATCTGCCTTCCAACAGTTCAACTTCGCTTCAGTGAATGTCTCACCAAGCCCCTTCTAATAAATACTGTTTATGATTTCTATGACACACTTGTTTTGCAGTGAAATTGTGGAGGCAGTGATCACTGGGTTGATTGACACCTAGTTATTCAATCAAACATACTTCTATTTCACTAGTCACAGACCACACATGCCAAATTTGATACTGAAACAACTTCTATTAGGTATTTTGGAGAAGGTTTGGGAAGAAAATCAGTCTTGTAATGAAAATCTTAACTTAGCTGCAGCTACTGCAGCACCATAACACTTATTTCTCTCCTGCTGGCAATTTGGAGGCAACAGCACTGAACACCAGAGGACTTCTCTATGGAGGGAGAGATAACAGCAGACATTTACTGAAAGGATGGGGATTGTTTTCTTAACAATGGAAGTGTACTAAAATGGATTTGGTAGTTCTCAGCTGGTGAGCAAATATTCAGCTCTAGCTCATTGTGGCTCTTTGGGTGGGAAAAATAGATTTCACATAAGTATTCCTTTCTGCGTTCATGAAAGACAGAATGCAGGCAAGCTGAGTGGCAGAGTTAGGCAAAAACAGCCACTGCACATCATATGATGTGAAGCCAGTTAGAGTGGGGAGCTGAGGCACAAGACCACAATTAAGTAATGAAAGGCAATAATTTACTTTGTCAGGAAAAAAAATATTTGTTCTAAATCTGACAAATCATTTTATAAGCTGTTTCCCATAAAGAGTGGAGGACATGAAAATCACAGCTCAGAGATGGATACAGGTTCAACAAGAATTTCCAAAGAAACTATTTCTTTACCCCACCTCCTCTCTCCAAGGCACGTCAGGAATGATTAGGGAGCCTAAGCCACACCATCCAGGACCAATTTTGACATATCAGGCAATATGAACAATCCACATTGTGGCTGACAACACCTACTAGAGATCCCTGCCCTTACAGCCAAGTAAGGCAGCTTCACATAGGCAGTGAAACTTCTGGCAACTTAAATTTCTTTTGGCATTTATGTTCTGGCACCTGAACGACTCTGCTGATATTTTCTTACTTCTACATCCTCATCTTGTATAAGGGGATGTGATAAAGGAACCTGGGAAGTGGCAGCTACCATTATTTATAGAAAGGCATTTAATTACTATTCTCCAGCTGCCATCTCTATGCCTGAATTCTATACTTGTGAGACAATTCTGAGCAGTTCCTTTACCCAAATAACTTCTCTCCTCCCCAAGATTCTTAGTAATGTTCTTTCATTTTAATAAGAAGGGGATTTAAAATCCCTTGTAAATGTTTTAACAGCTCAGACTCAAAGGCCTCCTCTAAAAATCCATAGTTCTGCTCTTAAACCACTTTTTTTGGAGATTACTCATGTAATTACACTCCAACTTTTGTCCTCCACTGAACTTTGATAAGTTTTGGAAAGTGCTGATTAGACCAAACAAAATTTCTTCTGCAGTGAAGGAAATAGAACCTTCAGAAATTTTTAAGAATATCATTAGTCAAGCCTTCTGGATAGCTATTTGTGTCTTGCTTTTCAAGAGCAATTTATTCACTGAGCTTAACCTTATTCCCAGTACATCCAGGCATCACACATAGATAGTTTTATTCTACATAGTTTCCCATGTTGTTTCCAGAAATTACTTGGAGTACTTATTTCTGTTACTGTTAATACCCAATTATTATGGCCAAACTAATAGAAAGTGAATTAAAAACCAAAGCCTGTTAGGGTATTGGCCTGGTTAGATGATGATGATGATGATGATGATGATGATGATGATGATGATGATGATGATGATGATGATATATCCACACAAAGCATTACATTATCTGCAAGTACACATTCGCAAGCTAAAAATTGGAAATTGTGTTGAACTCATGTTTAGAAGAAATGGACTTATGTCCTGTGCAGAAACCACCGACAGCAAAAGCCACTTTTTAAGTGCCAGCCTCACCTCAGTGACAATTCTGCTGTTTCAGGAAGTGAACACAAACATTCAGTGCCAGTCTTCCCAATGCAATCCCAAATGAGAGCAGCACCTCAACTGTGTCACCCTCTAACACCTGAAATCCTTGGCTCTGCACTTTCTAGAAGAAGAACCTGTGCTGCATTGCTACTGCTCCACTCCATCACTACCACATCAAACACGAGATATCAGGCTCTGACAAGGCTCTAACCTTGTCAGCACCGAGTGTGAAAGTTCAATGGCACTCCCAGTACTCCACACCAATATGAAGGTGGAAATTTTGTCCACATTTTGTGAGAAAAAAATTGAAAACCTTTAGTCTTTAAATTTGTAGAAAAAACCCCAAACACATGCACACACGAACTGCAGCCAAATAACCAGCAGTACATGAAAGACCTCTCTTCTGGAAAAATACAGAATTAATGTGCCATTGTCCCCTCCATCAGAACTGGTTGAGGGCTGTTGGAGAGAAGGTGAAGAGGGGGAGAGGAGAGAAAAACAGCCACTGCAAATAAGCAGAGTATTTTATTAGAGAGTTATCTCCTTCTTGCAAGAATGAGTGCTCAAATGGATAATACCTTCCTGTGAAATCCAGGTTTCCAGCTTCGTGTTAAGAAGAGGCTCTTACCTTATGGGATTATCCATCCTTGATACTGTGAGAAACGCTGCTAAATTTGCTGTGTAGGAAGAGCACACAATAAGGGTGAAGAGCCACCAGCTTCCCATTACAATGCGCATCGCCACAGAATTGACAGTGGATTCACCCCCTGCAAATAAACAGATAAATGAAGGGTCTCTCAGCAGCTTCCATTTACCATCACCCTCTGTGTGCCCTGGTATGTTAAACTTTGTTGGAGTTCCTCTCTGCTTCCCCTCCAGTCTGCCCTTTCACTGTGGGAAAAGCACTGCTTGTGTTAAGGCTGATAATTCACAAGTATTTTCTCCAGTCAACCTCTTGCCCTAGACAGTATTCTAGAAAAACATATTTCAAAATATTTCCCTTGAGAATTATTGAGGACAAGTCTAAAGAACATGAAAAGTGTTCTAAATAAAGTTGAATGGTGAAGCACAATATGCAGGAATTAAATCATTACAGTGTTCAGAATATAGTAATATTCTGTTTTCAATTACCCTTTCAGAATTGGAAGCCCCACAGAACTGCCTAATGGTTTATGTACTATCTTTGCTGTATTTAAATCTGCAAAGACTGAAGCATTAGTGTCATTACTTGTTATCCTTTACAAGATTTCAAACCATGTGAAGATTTCTTTCCAGCAGTCTTCAAGCATAGTTATGCTCCAGCATCATTGGAGACTAAACCTTACCGTAGAGCTGGTTCTACTTACTTCAGCATATGTTTGTGCTGATTATATTTTACTGCACTTAAACCCATCAAAGCTGTCACCTTAATGAGATCAGGGACCAAGTTTCATAGCAACAGGATGGATTCTCCAGCTCAAGCTTTAGAAGCTTGCAATCACAATGAAAAAAATGTAGAAAAAAGTTAACAACTTTACCCGTATGTCAGCATTCAATAAAACCTGCCTTCCAGAATACAACTAACATTATAGATGTGGCACAAAAACTGTGTGGGCAGATTTTGTAAACAATTAGTTACAAAAATAGCTTTGTTAATGGCAGCAGTCCTACTGAATTCTGTAGGATTAGCCCTATGCCTAGAGATTCCTGAGTGTAAAGTTCCTGAGTGTAAAGTTAGTTACATACTCAGTTCAAACAAACAAGAGATGAACTATCTCACATGAGTTCAAAAACATATATGGTTCTATTTCTATTTATACATTAAACAATTGAAAAGGTGCGAGTTTTAGAGCTGGAGAAGTGTTGCAATTCTGCACCAAGCAGCTCTGTAGTTTATTTCTAGTGTAACAATTTTCCCAAAGAGGAAACGTCTGACAGTGCTTTTTCTGGACTTACTGAGAGACAGAAAAGGCATAAAAAAGACTTAAAGCCCCAAACTTGCCTCTCTTTCCCACTTTTGCTCAGCTGGGCTAATAAAACATCATATTTCCCCATACAGGCCTTTCTTCCATTGCTAGCCCACTGAGGGCAGGATGAGATGCCCTGCCCGCTGGCACTGAGGCAGAGCTGCCAGCAGAGCTGGCAGGGGAGAGGTGACATGGAGTGAGGTAAGGTCAGGTGAGGTCAGGTGGGGTGAGGTGAGGTGGGGTCAGGTCAGGTCAGGTCAGGTGGAGTGAGGTGAGGTGAGGTGAGGTGAGGTGAGGTGATGTGGGGTGAGGTGAGGTGAGGTGATGTGATGTAATGTGGGGTGAGGTGAGGTGAGGTGAGGTGATGTGATGTGGGGTGAGGTGAGGGGCGCACCTTGCTGGACGAAGGCGCCGTACACCACCCAGATGGCACTGTGCAGCGTGGAGGACACCGAGGGGCTGGGCTGGGCCGCGCTCTGTGCCCGCACGGCCTGGATGCGGTTGAGCACAAAGATCAGCACCCCCACGATCGGGATGGCTGCGGCGATGCACGCCCACACCGCGAAGTCGAAGGGGGCGAAGAGAGAGAAGATGTTGATTTTCTCCTCGGGCTTTTTGATTAAGATCCCCACGGAATAGTCCATGTAGCGCTTGCTGAAGTCCACCACGCTCTCCCGCTCGGGCGTTATAGTGATGGCTGAGATGGCCAGGTCTGCTCTCTGCAACACAAACGCAGCACATCACATCGCTCCCTGCCACCAGCAGCTTGGCCAGCCTGAGCCTTAAGGAGAAGCTTTCTAAGAGCCAAGGGACTCCATGCTTTTCCTTCTACAATTTAAAACATTTAGATGCATTTATATAAATTTTCTGAAAATAAAACCAGAATCACCTTTTAAACATTAGTTAACTGCACAGGTCTAAAGAAGAGTAATGAAACATAACCTGTCAAGGTACTCTTGAACAGAAAGCACGACCCTGAGTCCTCTCTGGAAAAAGGATAGCTTATTTAACCTTTATCCCTCACTTGTTTTCCAATGGAGGCCTAAAACTCCAAACTATATTAACCCAGTGTACTGCAGGCAATAAAGAAAGAAACACCATTTATTTAGCTTGTGTATTTGATAGCAGGGTGGGAGAGTTAATGTTTGTTTTTCTCCCTGCAGAATTGCAAACTTTCCATATTCATGAAGAGATTTCATAGGACAACTTTGGAGATGATTTTGTTTGTTTTTTAAAATGAATAAATTGATGGAAAAAGCTCGTAACAGGAAGAATGCACAAAGGCAAGTTTGTTCCTGAAACTGCTTTGACTTCAATATTTAAAACAAGTAGGTTTTGCGTGTAGATAATCCTTAAAGAGTATGCACACTTGATGAAGGGTGAGATAGGAGTTAATAAATAAGATTCCCAAAGCTTTTGAAGAGCTTCAATTAGATTTTCAATATTTTCTGTCTTAATAAAAAGAGTTCTCTTCAAAAAACCAGAATATACATTTGGTTTCCTACCCCTAATTGTGTTGGGAATGTAAAGCAAATATTAGATGAGGGAGGTTTGCTCTGGAACCCTTTGGAGTCTGTGGAATAAATGGTAGCAGACATACTATTTAAAAAATACCATAATAGATATTTTATTGCTTCAAAGAAAGCAATTTCCAAAGAAATTTAACAGGAGTTCTTACCTTATTTTTAAATCCATGAAATTCAAACAGTTTATGTCAATGCAAAATAAATTAAAAATTCTTTATGCTCCCTAGCACCAACCAAAACATCCAATTATAACACATGTTTGCTATTGCTTTAATTGCTTCTATTTCTTCCTAAACATCTCCTTACAGATACTGAACCACCTATTTACAAGATAATAAGAAAGCTTTCACTTTTAGTAATAACCTCCACTGCAGATGAGTAACCTTTTCTATAAAATGCAGCAACATGGAATATCAATTCCTTTGGTTCTTCTTGATTAACTCTTATCCCATGTCAGGTTGCAAGAACATGAACAAAATATACTCATTTCATTCTCTGGTAGATTCAAACCTACAAATTCCACAACTACTACCATCAACTTACTCCTGGATTTGCAATACTGTAATTAAGAAATTTGGTCTTCTCAGTTTTAAATGAATGAATAATCTTGAGACCAGTTTAAATTCTTATCCCCTAAAAACAACCTTCAAAGACAAAATGACAAAAAATAAAACACTAGTAGCTAATATTTTAAGGGGAATACCTTACTTTTTCTCTATTTTTTATAGTCATTCCCTCATACACACAAATATGACCTCTATTCTTATAGCAATGTAAACGCATAGATTTATACCAATATAATTTATGTTGAGAGCAGCTGGGAACATATAAAACAAGAGGCTCTCTAGTTCCTGCCCTGTATACAGAGTCTTAAATTGCAGCTTATATCACACTCAAACCATCCATAGCTCAGAATCATTCTGCACTGGTTCCTTCATCCTTATTCATTCTCCTGTAATTTTTTTAAATTCAGCTTCTTCTCTGTGTACCTTGTTAATGAGTTCTCCAATCATGCCATTCCAGGAGCTGTTTTGAAGCTGGTGTCCATACTTGCCATCAGGAGCTTGATATATCTCATATTTGAAGCCCAGATTCTTGGCCAGTGCATCCAGGACATCAATGGAAAATCCTTTATATCGTTTTGGCTGCCCAAGGATGTTCTCTGCCACCATCACAAAAGGCTCTTCCTAGAGAACAAAACAGTATCTTAACTGACACTTGAAACAAGATTTTTAGTTTGCTTCTCTGAGCAAAAAGGTGCTTTCTGAGTTAATTCTGGACAACTTGGCACAGATTTTGAGACATCTGTAACCTTCTGAGGCAAAAACTGCAGGTCACATGTGAAGTTTCCCAGCCAGACACCACTGCCTCAGCACTTGAGTCCTATCCATAGCCTTGGTTTTTCCATAGTTCTTGAGATGAAGCCGAGACTACAAAAGAAATTCAACCTCAGATTTAGAAAGCCATCTTTTACATACAAGGCCTCATTCTTTTAATCCGGACACATACTAAAACACGAGCTAAAAACACTGCAATTTTGTGAACATGTAAAATTTTGAAAATTTGAAGAACAACCTTCATGGATACTGGTTTCTGGAGTATTTTCATTTAAGACTAAGGAAATGCTGCATTTTATCGTATGTTTTCTGTTGGAGATGGGTGTCCTGCTCTCCTACAAGGGCATCCCAGGGATGTTGGTGGCATGGCCACTGCAGTTGGCTGCCTTTGTAGCCTGATACTGTCACAGAAGGGATCTGCTCATCTCTCACACCAGCTACAGCATAAATTGAGAAAAGAAAATTGGGGACTGGAGGGAGTGCCTTCATTCTACATATGTACTCTTAGGTACTGCCTATTTGTACCATGATTCCAAAAAAGAGAACTGAAAACAAATACCCCCATCATATTCTGCAATCTGCAGACTATAATATCTTAGCCAGGAATGCATTCAAGCCCTAATTTGCCCCTAATGTAGCACTTGGATGACAGGAGCTCTTAACTACTCCAGAGAGTAGTCCCAAAACCGTAATGATTTTTTTGGAAAGATGACACCTTTCTAAAAGATATAGTTTATCTCAATGGGAATTTATAAGCTTGATGCAGGAAACACTTGATTAAATTTTACAGCCTGCAGTGTACAAGAGCCAAGATTAGATTATCATAATTGGCCCATCTGATCTTAAAATCCATGAAATGCTGAAAACTGCCTATCCAAGCTGGAGGATGGTATCTGGAATGTACCCCTGTGCACTCAGGCCCTGTGCTTCTATGCCTGGTAGGAATTACAAGGCAGAAAAACAGCATAAGCAAACAAACAAACAAATGCTCTATATCACTGACAGTGCACAGCTTCACATAAAATAATAAAGGGCCATCATCTATGCCATCATTTATCTTCCCTGCTTATGTAATTGATCATCCAAAAATACAGAACTGAAAACGATAGGGGGAAAACACTGCAGGAAGTGCCCAGAACATTCAGTCAGCTCCTTTTTCTTTTGACCATTTTGATTCCTGACTCAGGAAGGGTCATACCAAGACAGTCACCACTTTGAGTGTCACTCCTTGCAGGTCGTTGCCCAGCCGCCGCTCCTGGAGGCTGCCGTTCAGTCCTTTCTCAGAGTCCCACGTCGCCAGCTGGAACAGAAAGCACCCAGAGTCTGAGGCATTGCCAGGCAGGAATCCTTCAGCATTTACAAAATATTAACAGCAGCTGGGCCAAATCCAGAACTGATAGAGAGGGGTTGAGAGGTGTGTGGCTTTTTTTAATGTAGAATTAGAATTAGTGTGATTCAGAGGACAGACATAAACAAGTACCTTGCCTGAATGTATGTTCACTGATCGGTGCAATATAAATGCTCTATTCTCTGTAGTATTTATCATATCATTTCACTTAGTTCATGTTGACATTACATTTCTCCTCAGTAAGTTTATATTGCCTGAGAGGCCTCAGGATTACCTGTGGTTGCACTATCCCAGATTTCCCTCTCTGCTCAGAACCCTATTTTCAAATACCCTATGTTTATCAACCTTTTTTCCCATAGTGTTTTAGCTCACCTACAGTCATAAATTCTTGACACAGGTTCTATGGTGTCAAACTGTCTCAACTTGCATTTTCTTCAACTTCTATCTTAAGTCCTGTTTTCTCTGTTCTTGCCCTACTTCTACCTGATCTCTAAAACAGTTACAGCCTCTTGAGCTCCCACGCTCCTGATGAACAAGTATCTCATATCTACCAGATGTATCACATGTATGTTTTCAGGATATCTCTCTGGAACATTACATCTAAATATTTTATTTTTCAATTAAATGTATATTTTAAAAATTAATTTTACTGCATTTTCTGAAGAGAAATACAGTCCAATTCAATAGAACAGGTTCAATAGAAAAGTCAATCTTAAGTGACCTTTGGATTATTCAAACTAATGCTCCTGAGCAGCAGCAGCAGCAACAGTCAGACACTCCTTTTGCCTTCAAACAGAATCCACAGTGTCATTTTGTTCAGAACAGACATAAATAGTATCAAGTAGAAACTGTTTTCTTCGGGTTTTTTTTTTGTTTCAGATGTACGCTTAAACACCAATATTATGCTCACATATTTGGAAACAGTGTTGTTAGCTGAAGGCATGCCCTGTAGAAATTAAACACAGTCCAAGATCTGTGAAATATGGATTCCTCCTGCCAGAAGCTAATTTTCATGTAACAAGTCAAAATCTTCTTGGAAAGAACTTATTTCACCGAAAATGCCTATGGCTAGATGTCTTACATGATTTATTTCTATGACTTCAGTTTTATCCTAAAGCCTCACAAATCAAATCAACAAATAAAATGTGATGGAAGAGATCTGTATAGTTTTATTTCTGTTTTGTTGCATTCAACTGATAAACAGGGAACTAGAAAAGAACAAGACATTCAGTGAATATTCAGCAACTATCACAACTGATGAAAATTATTCCAGTGACTAAATCTTGAAAGCTGCGACGCAGGAGAGGAAAGACTTAAGGTACACCTCCTTTTATCCAGATGACCTGGAGGATGGAGGACGAGAATGTATGAATAATTTCCAGCTTTCTAATGACACTCCTGAAAGCTAAAATATCTCAGATTGAACACTCTCCTCCTGTAATGGCAGTTTGGAGTGACAGAGGAGCGTCTGCACATCAAGTGTCTGCAGCAACACAGGCAGATAAATACCTGTAGCCATGGTATCTTTTGAATTTGGATTTAGATGCTTGCTCTAAAATGCTTCCAGATGTTTCTCAGCCCTTGCTACTGACAAACCAAATAGATCTTTCCTTTGACATAAATCAACATGGTTCAGCAGACTTTCAAAGATCCGTGTAGGTGTGTATAGCATCTATTGTGTCTCAAATGTGTAAAGAAAATTTACTGTTTAAACCTTCTTCTCTCGTCCTAGGCATATGATCAAGTTTTTCACCAAAATGGCTTGCAAACGGCTTGATGATTGAATAGTAATTAAAAATGGGAAATGCAACACATTCAAGTTATTACTACATCACTGGTGGACTGACAGGTCAATTTTTTCTCCTACACATGCACCTTTCAAAATCTGATTCTATATAAGGGCTTTAGACTTCTCGAATACTGTCTGTTTCATATTCTGCACTACCTCGGGAGTTCCAAAAATCAAAAAATACCAGAGACAAGACAGTGTAAATCCATCAATTTATTCTTCTTTTTTTATTTTATTTTTTTTCAGAAGGAGCAGACAAAGATTCTTCTTCTATGCAGCAGGGGTAAGTGCAAGGAGAAGGAGCATATTTTGCTTCAGAACAGTACTCCAGAGTACAAACTTTTCAGCCTCTTAAAAGCAAACTAAAGAAATAAAAATCATAAATGGAACATAAGGAAAATTATTTCCAGAAGGGATTTTCCCTGTGCATCCTTGTGCTTTGGAATACTTAATTTGTTAAGAACAGTGCCAATTTTATCCTCCACTTCTTTCAGACAGACTTTTGTTTATAGGAATGATGTATTTACAGATATGTATGTCAATTTGTGACAGCTGACCTGTCAAGATCAGTGCCTCAGAAACCAATTTCCAGCATGGTTACACACCATGAGTACTCCTGTTAAGGCCATTAGAGTTTCATTCTTTGTAGAAATATGTACAAATTTCCTACCAGAAGTCTGGAGCCAAAGGTTAAAGCACAGCCATCAGCTGATAGGAGATAAAGGGCTTTTAGATCTGATTATGAGAACTGCTTGCAGAATCAGCACTTGCAGGATGTGTTAAAAAAAAAAAAAATCAATGGTCTCTAGAACATGTATTTAATGGCAGTCTGGGTGGGATTTTTTTATTCTCAAGTTACCTGGTTATGCGAGTTCAAGTTTTGAAATCAGCTACTTTATGAAAGACTTTCAACTTAAAGCTTCCTAGCTTTTCTTTCTGAAACAGCCCTGTTGCTGGGACTCCTCTAGTTCTAGTCATACAGCAGAAGCTAAACTATCCAGTAAAGACTATCCAGAGGAAACAAACATGGAATTCAGACAAAACAGTAATTTGTTGTAAAATTCTGACTCAAAACATGCTTCCAATTTTAGTCAATATTTACTGCATTTTCAACTAGAACTGCAAGGAAAGGTTTGGAGAGAGAAAATAACAATTTTAACATTGTTTTCACCCTCCACAAGCAAGGCAGGATGAAACAAAGACACTCAAAACACAAGCAAAACAAATGTCTGTCACAGGCCCAACCAAATGGAGATGCAAATTATCCCAAACTACTAGTAAATTCAGTCGAAAATAGACATTAGCAAATAAAGTGTTCAATGTTGCTATTACAGTATTGAATGTGATTATCTCCATTATTTTAGTTTACAATGCAGCAGTTACTGTACAAATAATGCATATCACTGCTATCACAGTTTTAAGTACGACACCATCCTAAACGTGATATACTTTTTACGAAAAACGTGATTCACATAAAAAATAAAAAAAGATAATTCTCAGCAGATGCATATTAATGTTTGAAATGGTTACAATCTATCTAGAGTATATATCTTCTATTTCACCAAAACCTAAAAGCTTTGATTGGGTGACTTCATTGGAGCTAAGGTTACACTATCCAAGAAAAGTAAACTTGGGAACCCCTTACTTGAAATCTGAAAAACTTCTAAAAGACAGGAAAATGAAAAGAGTGTAGGGCAGGCAGCTCTTACATCATGAGACAGAGACACATCAACCAGAGCTCATTTTCTGTGAATACAAAAGCTGTTCTGTCCACGGAGTTAAATAAATTAATCTATGCCACTCACAGTCAAAAAAATGCTTTTAGATTAAAGTTAGACTCAAACGGATTTCATTTCAATGACAACTTGTTTCTTAACCTTGAAGTCAACAGAGTTTATGTCAAGTATGATGTCCTTGCACCATGCATGTGTAATTTACACTTTGGTGCCTCATTCCCTTTGTAAGCCTTGCAATACAGCTAAAAGCAGATTTTAAGTGAACCAGATATAAAACAAAATACAAACAAGAAAAGTAATGTTTACAGAAGACAAATATGAAATAAGGGAGTGTGCCATAAAACAAATTGAGTATATTAGACACTTTTCTGTTACAGTTATAAGGAATAAAAAGAATTTCATTTAAATCCTAAAACAAATATAAGTACACTTAAAACATTTAAGTCCACAATTCCTCTTCAAATGAAGTATAACAGTAATCTACCGAATTTTCTGCCATTCAAAGGAAGGTAGTAGTAGGACTCACACTTTGAATTAGTAATAGCAGTAGTAGTAGTTAAGAACTCTTTCACATTTGTGTAATCCACAATAATATAAAATAAAAAGGTATCAAATCTCTTACTTGCAAGCAAATCCAAACACCGGTACAATTTATTTCCATCAAAGCTACATAATTATTATGTAACATTTCTAATATTTCTACTCTAAAAGAAACTTATAGTCAATATAGGGATAAGATACTGCGTAAGATCACCAGATGAACTAAGATTTAAGATACATTAAGATAATTTAAGATACATTCTCTGGTCCAGAATAACTCACCCTGCTTGCAGTAAAATACCAGCAAGTCATCTACATCCAGACATTCTAGTCTTATATTTTACATTTGTTTGGATTAAAAACATATCTTGCTTCCAAACATTTGCAGTGTGACTGGAATATCTGTGCACCCACAGCCACAGAGAACTCCAGAACATGTTTAAACTATGAAGCAGAGTATTGAGAACCACGTCTCAAACAGTACATGAACTCCCAGTCTTTGGGTGAAAATGTTATGCCATCCTGCTCAATGCTCAAGAGGCTCAGTTTGCCATTAAGGGGCACGAAAAGGATTGCATCTACTTGATAAAAGGTCAGAGAATGGCAGGGAAACCATGGAAAGCTGCATAAAGTTGGAAAAAGGACACAGGCAGAAAGGCTGCCTCCCCTGGGGTTGCTTTGCCACTGCTGCTTCTACAAGGGGACCCTGGTCTTGTGTCCAGGACAGCAAAGGACATACATGTGGCTGTTGATGCTTTAATGGGTCTTTAAGAATGCAAGACCTTCAGGAAGAAGAATTCCATTTACTCCAATTTCAGCACATTTTTTTTTGCAAATTTATGGTGCTATATTGAGGTTAATAAAAATTCTGCAGAGAATCACAGGAA